CATCATGTTTCAAATGTTGCTGAGTGAATCAACCTGTAAAACAGCAGCAGGCCAGCGTCCAGATGAGGATGGTGATGAGAGTCATGGTGGTTGTGCTTTCTGCTGTGTTGACTGACAGATCTGAGTCCTGCAGTGTTCAACTCACAGGACTATAAACCTTCTCAGTTCACTGGAGGATCAGCTGACGATGCAAAGCCTCCTCTCTATGGAAATGATTTCTCTGCTCTCAACAGACTGAAGGCAACGTGGGACACAACATCAGGAGAAATGCTGCTTGGATTTACACTAAATATCATCTTAATGGAAGAGAGGGAAATATAATAGAAGCAGAATTAAAATTGTTTCAATCTGGAACATTTTTGACTTTATTATTTTCTTCATTGCTGTTTCTCTTCAGTGTCAACATTTCTGTCTTCTTGTTGTCTTGTCTCAAATGACTTTGTCCTCATTACCAGGTGCATGGCGTCCCCTGCTGGCAAACTGCATTAGAACTGAACTCGAAGAGAACAGGTCCAAACTTTTAAAATGTTTTTGAATTACTTTGTTTTTCCCTTGTTATATCATATTAGTTTTCACCTGATCTTTCCCTGCACACTTCATAACAACATCACGACTGTTTTCAACTAAGTAAAGTATAAAATCAAGAATTTCTGATTCAATCAGTCACATTTAGGGGATGTTAAGCGTCACAGATCATTCTTAGTGGGTCTGTTTTTGTAGAGGAACAGTGGGGACATTATATATAATAACACACAGGAGTAGTATATATTATCGTGTGGAGACCCCCCGCCCACTGCCCTCCCAGACCCCTCAGACAACACGTGGAAAATTTACTACAATCTTCACTGACAAACTTGATATACTTTTACTGTTAATGGTTGAATGATGTGGAGAATCATCATGTTCATTATCTTCATTCATCTGTTTAAGAAATGTTTCACAGCACTATTCTGTTTATTGAGAGGAAGTGCTGAGGATTGTAAAACCAAAAATAAATCATTTTGTTGTTTCATGCCTCGTAAGTCTGAGAGGGAACCTTAGAGGCTGATACAAAAACCTTATTGAAGTGCTGTTTTTTTTTTTGTTCATTTGTTTTTCTTGTATATGTGTAAATGTATAACAGTTTGTGCTTGGTGAGGTGACTGTCAGCTCTGTGTTCAG